TGTTTCTTGAATATGGTGTACACTCCGGGACTCCCATCTCAAAAAACAAACAAAAAGTTTGGAGAAGAGCAATGAGAGTAAGGTCAAAAGTAGGAACTGATTCCCATACGAGGAATGATTAAGTAAATGAGGTTTCTTCAGCCTGAAGAGATTGTGGGGCGGGGGTGGGCTTAATGAGGGGGTGACTGCAGAGGGAGGGATTGCCCACCGCTGCTTCTAAAACTGTGCAATGTGCTAACAGACAGCAGGTACAAAGCAAACTAAAGGAGGGGCAGTTTCCTGTAATGCTAGTTAAGCTGTGGTACTCCTTGCCATTGTTACTGTGAATGCTAAAATTTTATGAAGGCTCTGGGGAATACTGGACAAATTTTTGGTAGCAAATTAATGGAGGATTGTTACATTCACACACACACACAAAAAACCCCACCCTCTAGGAGGTCTCCGAGTTTTATATTCCCAGAGGCTGGGCAAATATTCAAGGAAGGATCCCTACGTGCTTGTTCTATCCCTACTCCCCTCCTTAGACATTTACTTTTGGCTACAGTTGGAGGCAGGATACTGGGGCAGGGGGTGGGGGGGATGTGGACCTCTGGTCTGACCCTGTACAGCTGTTCTAATGTTTTTATGATCTCATTTATCATTAAAAAAAGCACTCATCTTTCTGTGATGCTAAAGTGACTAAAAATTCAGAGAGAGAGTTGAGAAGTTTAAATAAAGAATTCTGGTCTTTGTAAAACATTAAAAACAGGGCCAAAATCATAAGCTAAATGAAATTGTTTCCCAACTCATGCATTTTATGATGCATAATGTGAAATATGGCAAAGTCAGCTCAGGATTTTACAATGAGTACTATCTGTTCTGAGAAGGAAGAAATTAAAGCTGCATACAATAGACTTCCTGCTGGGAAGGTGAGAGGGGAGGGGAACTCAGCATCCCAAAGGATGCACCGGTAACAACCCCAGACCAAACCCAGAGATGTGAGTCATCAAAGCTGCAAAGCTATTGGAGAAAATCCAGGAAGCCAGGCTTAAAATAGGAACAGAAGGGAAGTGGGGGGAGGCAGAAATAAGGAGAAAGAACAAGAAGAGAAAGAAATCATTTAAAACAAGAAAAGAGAACTTGGAGAGAGTTGCCTGGAGCCGAAAAGCCCTGGAGGTAGCCACACCACCAGCCTTTCAGGCCAGGATACGTTTGTGCGGGCCACAAAAGAGGCAATCCAGTACGCCCCCAGTATCTCATAACCACCACTCCCTTCCGCCAGAGCTTACACTGTGCATAAATGTGCAGCTGTGTGGCGAGCTAAATTCGGAAGCGATTCATCTATAAACAAACACTTTATGGCAACCAGGCTTATGGTTCAGACTAGCCTTAGGATCTCTCTGGGGAGCGGAGTTTGATGATCAGGTGTTGTTCTACAGCTTGCACCCTCCTCCAGACACCTGGGATACAGGTTAAAGATGCGGAAGCCTGAAGGAGGGGAAAGAAAGGCAGCCAAGAAGGAACCTGACTTTTAAAATACAACCTGCAATTGTGGTGTATGCTTTTGTTTTGTTTTGGTTAACTTTTTTCAGCCTTGTAATTGTTGCCTACCTACAATAAAAATGTACTTCACTTGACCCGCAAGCTTGTCCAGCGCTAGCAGACTTAGGTGATGCTGAGAAATATGAGGCACATTTCTTCGGGGATAAAAAGTTTGCACACAATGTGCATTCAGGCACTGCTAGTAAGCCTGTACCCTACAATCTAACAGAGAGATGAAGTTTCTTCTGCCAAATTACAAAAGCTAGCGTGCATTAACATTGCAAGGTGCACACCCGTGCTTCTCCCGCAAAGCTCACAATACAGAGCAGTACCCCGCAGCCCTGGGCAGGCCCTTCGTCACCTCGTTATTTATAGCCTTCTTATTGCCAACTGCAAACTAAAATAGTACTCATTCATGCTTCATGTAATATACTTTGGGCTTAAATTATGAGTCTCTCTATTTTCCCCCCTGAAAAGAAATTCCATTCTTCAAGAGAGTAACATACGTGAAAGCCCTCCACAGTGTGCTGTAGAAAAGACGTCATTATTTAGCACACAGGAAAGGAATGGTAAGGGGTTGCCTTCTTTCTTTAGGGCTAATCCAGTCATGATTAACAGCTGTGATTACTTTGCTTATCTTTAACCCTGATGTCACTAAGGAAGGGTGGGTTAGTTTTCAGTGCCATGTGGCAAACATCAGTTTTGGGGCCTTTTGAATAGGTCACATGGATCGGTAACAACAGCGTAAACTGCTTGCCTGTGCCCAAGTCCTGCCGCTGACCCTGCCTGATGCACTAGCAACTATTCCCTGATGCTTATAGCTTCGCGCTCTCTCTCGTACAGAAACAGCAGCTCGAACAAGCGCGGGCAGGAGGCACTCAGACATAAAGGCAGCATGTAGATCTTTTTCCTCATGCCTCTACAGCAGAAAAGGCGGTGGGGCGGCTGCAGCTTGCAGTCTGCCACTTGGGTCACCTTGCTTGCAGTCAAGAGAAAGATATCAGACAGGTAAAATGGGATGTGGAAGAAGAAAAGCAGAGAGAAAACGAATGTCATCTCCCGCCATGGGCTGTAGGAGCAAAGACGTTTAAAATTTGTCAACTATTTAGTTTTCCTGGTAGTATTAATCTCAATAATTTAGGAATAAAATTGCCAGATATTTTAGCACTTTACAACTCACCTTTCTAGACTTCCCTTATCCGCTCCCAATAGTTAGACCCTTCTATTAAGAGTCCATCTTGTGGACCATCAGTTTTTGTAGTATTCTTAACAACTTGTCAAAACACCAAACAATTTTTTGAGCTTTTCTTCACCCTTCCTTGGTTTTCCTGATTTCCTCAACTAAGTTGCTCGATATACTAAACCTCTCAATGAACAGGTAGACAAAAAAGTTAGGCTATTTATAAACAGTTAGTGAGAACCTCCATAAATATTATGAGAATTTAGGGTGTGGTTTCAGACAAGTTTAAACGTCACCTAGGCTGCAGTGCTCCTGCCATCCCCACGGTAGCCCGGATACCTGCTCCAACTTCTTTCACCAGCACTTCCACAGCAGTACAGGAGGCTGATTCAGCCGGAAACTATGCCGCTTTCTGACTGAGGTGCAACTGTACAACTTCCAGCGGCTAAAGCCGTGCTGGGATTGAGGGCAGCCCACTTCTAGGTTCACTGTGGAACAGCACCCTTAGACCTTCTAGAGTGAGGAACTGCAGGAAGCTTTCTGTCTGTTGCGGTAAGAGATTTGTCAGCCCTGATGACTTGCAGTGTTATACAGGGATAGCGCATTGCCTGCTATTTCCAAAAAAAGAAAGGGTGTGCGTGTAGTTAGGGTTTCAGAAACATCTAATTAGAGACGAAGGAAAGTTGAAACACTCAGGCACAGCCATAGAAGGTTAACCAGCTGGAGCCCTAGGGAACAGTAACAGAAGACAGATATGAGAAAGAAGTACTAAATGAAAAACATTTTTTGTAGGTTTGGGGGGTGGAGCTGTACCAGGTTCCTGCCTTCACTTGCTAGCTCAGCGTTTTACGCAAAAACCCTGTAATGCAAAACGTACGCGCAGAACCCGTGTCAAACGCCGGGCTCGAGCGCTCATTCTTTCTTTCCCCTCAGGGCACATCACCCCAGCGAGAGAGGGCAGCCCCCCCCCGTTTTCTCCCCTCCTCCCGCTCGGAGGGCGGGCAGCCAAGTCCTCGGCAGCCTCCCGCTCAGCCCCCCCGGGGCTGCGGAAGGCCTGCAGCGCGGGCCCCGGACGCCGGGGAAGGCAGGGGGCGGCCTCAGCCCCCCCCGGTCCGGA